CGACAAGGGCGCCGAAATTCGAACCGTTCCCACATGCACATGAATGAGGTGCAGTTGGAGGAAATGGCAAAGCAACAGCAGATGAACGAGACGAGAGGGATGATACAAACCCCCGGTACTGAAAAGTAAAGAGAAGTGCCCCGAGATGATCAGATGTGCGTTTTGCTCGATAAAACGAAAAGAGTAACAATAATGCTAAAACTCGAGAAAAACGACAAGAGTAAACAAGAACAATAACGTAATTCAGGGATATCTTCCGGTATAGGGGCTTTTCACGCATCCTCCGTCGAGGAAAAAGGAGGCTTGATCTCGACCGTTTGAGAGCTTTATGCCTGGAGATTCTTAGCTTCGGTGGCTCAGGGAGGACCACTTTGAGAGCCGGTGCGGCCGGGTAGGGGGTCGGAATGTGAGGTTTGGAGCGATGGGCTTAAGGTTTAGTAGCCAAATTCCGTGTCTATCACCTGCGCAGGTTTCGCAGCTGGTTTTCAAGCTTTTTCAAGCGAAGCATGTTTTAAGTTTTAAGCAGTTGTAGGTCAACCTAGAGCTATATGGTCAGCCGTTTCAGAACGCAACATGTCCTAATTTGCTTATCACCCATGGGGCTTTAAATCGGCTTGTTGGACTCCAAAGCAAGTTCCAAAACATCCAAATTCCCATCAAAAAGGGTGGTTTAAGTAAATTGAGATGCTTGGGACACTAGAGCAAGTCCTGCTTCCTCACGGGTGAGTCCGGCTTCCTCAGGAGAGGTTTTGGCTGGGACTAAGGCAAACTTTGCTTCCTGACCAGAGCTCGTGGGTGGGACACTAAGCTCCTCACAAGAGCTATTGAAACCCTCCCTGGTCGCCCAGGCGGGGTTTTGGAGATTGCCAAAATGTCTGTGTTTGGCTTAGAGTTCAAAGAGCTGTTGCTTTTGGCGCGAGTTCTTTGGTCAAGTTCAACGAGCTGTTTATGCGCGAGCTATTCTGTCAAGTTCAAAGAGCTGTTTTTGGCGCGAGCTTCTCTGGTCAAGTTGAAAGAGTTGTTCTTGCCCGAGCCTTCTGGTCGAGTTCAAAGAGCTTTTCTGGCGCGAGCTGTAGGGTCAAACCGCCCTCTTTGAGGGGACGGGTTAGGGAGCCACAATTACGTTGCCAGCCTACGTTTTTGGGCATCTTGAGCTAGCTATTCATGGCTTTTCCCAACTCTGCTTGCTTTTCGAAAATATTTCATCTTGAGCTAGCTATTCAAGGCTTTCCCAACTCTGCTTGCTCATCGAAAATGTTTCAAGTTTGAAGAGTTGTTTTTGGCGCGAGCTATTTGGTCAAGTTCAAAGAGCTGTTTTTTCGCGAGCTATATGGTCGGTCCCCAAAAAGCAGGATGGAGTTGAACACGCTCGCCCCCAAAAACTTGAAACCTTATGAAGCAAATCCAGCTTCCTCACGAGAGCTATCGGGTGGGACACTAAAGCAAGTGTTGCTTCCTCACGAGAGCTTTTGGCTGGGACACTGAAGCAAACCCTGCTTATTGACGAGAGCTCTTGGGTTGGACATGGTTGGACACTAAGCAAATCCTGCTTCCTCACAAGACCCATTGAAACGGCGGGGTTTTGGAGATTGCCAAAATTTCGACCCGGGAGCGCAAAATCATCACTTTGCCACAGCGCGGAGCGTGTTTTATCAGGTACTACACCGCGTTTCGTGTGGAAAACAGCGAGAGCGTGTGGCGTGTAGCATCTTGTACCTGACTAAAACTGAAAGGTACATGAACTTGTTTAATGTGAGGGAAAAGGGGTCCGAACTAGGCTTCCAGCGACATCGCGGCGCGTGTAGTGGATACTTTACCGTGCAGGTGGACCGACCCAAATTCTGCATGTTGACACAGCGCGGAGCGTGTAGTAGCTATGTTTCGCATGCGGGCCTCGAAATCGATGAGTTGGCGTGCTCTTGGGGAGCGCTCCATCCCCCACACTCCCTCGCACCCCCCACATCAATGTGGAAGCATGCTCATGAGGCTTGATGCGAGAATGGCTGTGTTGATTCCTTCGGAACACTGCTTTGCAACATTGCTGTGGGGGGGAGCGGGTAACAGGTGTCCTTCAAATTCAAAGAGCTGTGTTGGCGCGAGCTATTTGGTCAAGTTCAAAGAGCTGTTTTGGCGTGACGGGTTATGGAGCGACGATTACGTTACCAGGACAGCTTTTTGGGCGTCTTGAGCCAGCTATACAAGGCATTTCATAACTCTGCTTGCTCTTCAAAAGTGTTTCAAGTTCAAAAAGCTCCTTTGGCGCGAGCTATTTGGTCTCAATTTACTCAAACCACCCTCCTGTTGCGTGCGGTCCCCAAGAAGCAGGATGCTAGTTGAACACGCTCTTAAACCAGGTGTCTGTCGTATGTCCCTCCCTTCGTGCTCGGCAAACCCTATAAACCCTTACGGTCCCCAAAACCTGAAACCTTAAAAAGCGAATCCGGCTTTCTAACGAGAGCTATCGGGTGGGACACTAAACCCTGTAACCCCTTACGGTCCCCAAAACTTGAAACGTTATAAAGCAAATCCGGCTTCCTCACGAAAGCTATTAGGTGGGACACTAAAGCAAGAGCTTCGGGGTGGGACACTAAAACGTCTCGTTGAACTTGACCAAATGGCTCGCGCCAAAAAGCTATTTGAACTTGACCAAATAGCTCGCGCCAAAGGAGCTCTTGAAACTTGAAACGCATTTGAAGAGCAAGCAGAGTTATGAAAATACTTGTATAGCTGGCTCATGACCGAATAGCTCGCGCCAAATTGCTCTTAGAACTTGACCAAATAGCTCGTGCCAAAATATACTGTTTTTTGAACTCTTGGTGAGGGCCCCACACGTTTGTCGTATGTCCCCTCCCTTGGTGCTCGTGGGGCTTGGTGAAGTTCAAAGAGCTTCTTTGCCGCGAGATTTGGCGCGAGCTATATGGTCAGCCGTTTCAGAACGCAACATGTCCTAATTTGCTTCTGACCCGATGGTGCTTTAAACCGGCTTGTTGGACTCCAAAGCAAATTCCAAAACGTCCAAATTCCCATCAAAAAGGGTGGTTTAAGTAAATTGAGATGTTTGGGACAGTTTGAAAAACCGCGGGAAGACGTTTCTACTGGGGGATCCTTGGAAGCTTCAGACTTTAGACCTCGAAACTGGTCCACTATGGTTGTAACCTCTCACTCTGATATGTTTTCCTAACATTGGCATTTCCAGGAGCATTGTTGCCATTTTGTTGTGTTGCTGCTGGTTGTCGCTATTCTGGCTGGCGGTGGTGATGGTCGTGGTGGAGAGAAGCCCTGCGCCCGAACACCCCAAAATCCTGAACCCCAAGCCTTGGGGCCCAAGGCCCTAGACCCTTGTTGCAGGCTGCCCTGGTCAACTCCGTCAAGAGCTGGGTGTCCCTTGCGCGGAGTCGCTGGCTCAGCCAACGATGTTGCACATGTGGGCTTAAGGCGACCGTTTAGGTGCAAGAAGGCACAGAAGTCTGAATAAGTCGTGTCAGGGTCTCACCCTCTAGCTGGCTTCGAAAGGAGTTCTACGCCATCTTGAGGCACCAATGTGCCGCAATGCGTGTACAGCTCCTGGAAGCCCAGGTGTGCCTTGCGAATTGCATGTCCTTGAGAAGCTTCACGCGGCGAGGGTCCAACCTAGTTTGACACTTTGAGGCCGTCCTTCTAGAATCGGGGGTGGATGCCGAGGCGAGAAAGCCGAACGAGACAAGGAGAAGGAGGACACGCGCGCCCATGGGGCAGAATGCTCCACGAGCCTTTTGAGAGCAGCCGCGGGTTCGACATCGCTTTGGAAAACCACAAACTTAGTTTCTTTTTTGTTCCCTTCCCTGGTCGCTGCCCTGCTTCTTCCTGGGCAGCCTGGCTTCGACTTGCACTAAGTCGGGAATGACTTTGACCTGGCAGGACGTCCTCGCTCAGCAGAAAGCCCACTGGGAGGTCCCCACATGGCCCACATGTGGCGTAAGGGTACATTGGGTACATGTCTGGCTTCCGGGACGACTAACGGGTTCCACTTTCATCCAGTGAACCTTGAGAAAGCTGTAGAGGCGGAGGCAGACCGATTGCGGAACCTGCATGAGAAGGACCATGCCTTGGGCCTTGGGCTGGGCTGTTAGGCTTGTGGCGATGGGGCCCTTGCCATGATTTTTTAAACAGTAGTTGTGGTAGTTGATTCTCTGTTCCGTACAAAGGTGATTAAGATGTGTGTCTCAGATATTCCAGGGGAGGCACAAGTCTCCCCTGCCTTGTGGCCTTTTGTGGGAGGAAGTATCCTTGATAGAGACCACTTGTCGAGTCCTCGAAGCAAACTGTCCTGTCTTTATGGATCCGGATCAGTGCCGCCCCTCGTCCAACGGGATCAGGTGCAATTTGAGTCTTGAAGAAGGGGAAGATTTCCCCTAAACCTCTTCCCTGATTCCTAAGCCGCAAGCCCCAAGCGAAAGGAGCTCCGAGCCACCTTGGACGAGAAGGAGCATTTGCAGGCCGCAGCGCAAGCCACGCAGGGGCCTCAGGGTGCACGTGAAATTTCCGCGCTCGTCCCTGTGTGTGTGTGTGTGTGGCGGGTGCCAATCAATCGCTCTCGCCGTTCCGTGCACATTGCATACTCGGTCGGACGAATCGTGCTCTCACGGGTGCCTCAGGGCACTTCTCGAGGCTTTGTGGTGCTCTGCTCCGGGCATGGCGTGCACGTTTTCATAGACATTTCTTCGGAGGCTGTTGGACAAGTTGGCTTTTCGCGCGTCCCTTCTGAGCCTCGGTCTCTGCATGCGCTTCTCGTGAGGTCGCCAAGGAACTAATAATTAGACCGTTGCATTTTTTGAATAGGAATCCAACTGTGAGCCCTGAGTTCAACCGGCAGAGACAGCAGAGACGACCCGAATAGCCGCACGCGGACTTTTGAGATCTTTTTTCCTGACTCAGTACTGTTCATGGGAAGCCTCGTCACAAGTCGGACAGCATCCTCCACGTGGCCGGGGGGGGGGGCGGCCCACACGTAAGTCGTCAAGATGCCAGACGTTGTCAGCCTCAGGTATGAGGACGCGTGCCAGAAGCATCAGCGGCTACAGCGAGTCGAGGCCGAAAACGCAGCCCTCCGTGCTGAGAAGCGCGTGTTGGAGCAGCGGCTCCTGGGTGTGAAGCATGTGCTGCAACCTTGTGATGTCCTTTCGTTCCCAAAGATGTTTGCAGCTACGGCCCATGACTCCATGACTGCCGACTGCAGAAACCTGCAGAGCGAAACCAGCTGAGGCTCTGCCAGGGGGATGCCGAGTTGTTTGAAGCCAAGGAGTGGCTGATGAGTGAGTTCATACGGTGACTCGCCAACCTCAGGGTGATCAAGCACTTCTTATCGATACTTGCGTGTGTGAAGAGTCTTCAGGGTCCCCGCAAAAGATGGCATTCTTGAATCTGTCGCCCGATCCCCAAGTTCAGTTCAATGAGAGGTTCTTGGAGCATGGCAGTGGCAGCCCAGGCACTGCGCTCTCCAAAAAGAGTTGGAGCGGGAGCGCAAGATCAGCAGCGGCGCGGGCGGCCCACTTTGAGAGCCGCGGCTACTGTGGAGAAAAGCATCCCGGCCCAAAATCCCAAAAAACCTGCAAACCCCTAAACCTGAGAGATGCTGTGCCTACTGTAGGGGTTGGCAAAGTTACTAACATAATTCCCTTATTGTCGCTATATCATTTTACTGTCATAACCTCCGTATAGTTACAAACATGATTCCCTTATGGCCCTTATATAATTACTAACATTTTTCCGGTATGATCCCTACACGATTATACGAAAGAACCCAATGCCCTATTCTAATGACTCAGGCTCCTTTGTTACTCTCAACCTGAGTTTCTTTCGGCTTGCATACCGATTGGGTGCATGTTTCCTTTTTTTGTTTATAGAGTTTCGAGTTACAGCCAGTGGTGCTACGGACTACAGGTGAAGGGCGGGTTTAGGTTTTGACAGCGTCATACATAAAGACACCACCATCCATCATGATTGAACTGCAGACGGTTTCGGGATGTTTGGGGCTCGCTGGGCTTGTGGGTTCTCAGGTGAACCGTAAAGCTCAAGCCCCCCAAGCGCCCACATACCCTTTAACCCCTCAAAAAAAGCGTTCTAAGCCCCAAACCCTAAAGACCTCGAAGGCGGCAAAAACCCTAAACCCTAAACCCGAAACCCTAAACGTCCGCCCCAATGACGCCCCTTTGCCGGCCCCAGGCTTTGTCCATAAGACATCCAGCACAAAGTCCCCTGTGGCCTGCAGAGGCTCCTCAAAATCCGTCCTTTGGGTTTAGGGTTTAGGGTTTAAGGTTTAGGGTTTAGGGTTTAGGGACCAGCCTCAACCTCGTCCGCCCCCCGCAAACCCAGAAGTTTAGAGGGGGGCTTCGAACTTAAAATTTCGTAGTTAGGGTTTAGGGGCTTCGGGCAGCCTGAGCCCGATTCCGCACACGCAGCAGAGAACCCTTTGTTTGGGCTTCCTGAAGCATCTGAATTCCGCGGCCATGGCGCCACGAAGCTCGCGCGCAAGGCACCGCCTTTGGGTAGGGTGTCTGGCTGGTTCTTAGTAGGGAATGAGGGAATGAGGGCCCTATAGAATCCCTTCATCCCTACTAAGAACCAGCGGGGTGTACCTGGGACTCGATTCACCTACAGTTTAGTAGGAGCTACTCCCCTTAATTAGTAGGTAGAGCCGTAGGTAAATAGGGTCCCAGGTAAGGTCTAGGGGTTGAGGTTTTGGGGCTTAGGGTTCTTGGGGTCAGCCCTGGGGGCGTGCGGCATTTGTCCCAAAGGCATTTGTCGGCCAAAATATCATCTCATAAGAATGGTGTGTTGAGTTCTTCCCAGCCCCGGTTGCTACGTCAACCCGAGTTTTGACACCGGACGTGTTCCTCCAGCTGCAGTCCTGCCGAAAGTGGTTGTGCCGATCCCCCGTTCTTAACAAGCCACAAACAATCTTCAAACCTGGCCTTGGAGCCATTTTCCTGGCCCGCGAATCGTTTCAGACTCCCGAGAGGTGCAAAGGCCGAGGCAAGCGCTTTCGAGGCAAGCATGTATTTGTCGACATTGTGGATCCTTGCACCGGGTTGCAAGGGCAACTCCTTTGGCTTCTGCGCAAGTTTTGTGTAGGAGCATGTACTTTCAGCTTTTTGGGTTTAGGTGTTGGGTTTAGGGTTTAGGATTTAGGATTTAGGGTTTAGGGTTTAGGGTTTAGTTTAAGTTTAAGGTATGTTCCCTAGTTAGGTCCCATTGTCTTGCAATTTTGCACTGAGCTGGTTCTCGCTTCCTTCGTGGATCATCTCTGTGGTGGGTTTGGGAGTTTCCATTTTGTGGTCGTGGGCTGAAACCTAAACCCTAAAATCCGAAAGCCTTAAACTTTGGCCCTAAATCCTAAACCCTAAACCCTAAACCCTGAACCCTAAACCCTGAACCCTGAACCCTAAACCCTAAACCCTAAACCCTAAACCCTAAACCCTAACCCCTAAACCCTAAACCCTAAACCCTAAACCCTAAAACCTTAAAACCTTAAAACCTTAGCCCTAAGCCCGAAGTCCTAAACCCTAAACCCTAGACCCTAAACCCTAAACCCTAAACCCTAAAACCCTAAAACCCCTAAACCCTAAACCCTAAACCCTAAACCCTTAAAACACACCTTCATGGCCTCCCCCAAGCTGCCAGGCCGGGCTTCTCTGCTTTCAGTTGGCAGCGGCCTGGGCCGCCGCAGGCGGGTCGCTTCGATGTTGGGTTTTTAAGGGTTAAGGGTTAATGGTTTTTAGGGTTCAGGGTTTAGGGTTTAGGGTTTAGGCTTCAGGGTTCAGGGTTCAGGGTTTAGGGTTTAGGGTTTAGGGTTTATTGTAAAAGGGCGTAGATGCTGCGAAGGTTCGGATGCAGCAGAGGCTCGAAACCCTCGTCAGGTGCGAAGAGCAGCTCTGGCCCGATTGTGGAAGGCCATCTAACACCATTCTCCCACCCCACGCCGTCCAAGGCGGCAAAGCCACCCTAACCTATTTCTTTCAGGGTTTAGGCCTAACCTGAGGACAATCGCTTACTTCCAATAAAACGTCTTCCGTCACCGATTGCCGCTTTCAGCCAAAGGGGAAGGTTTCAGTCCAGAGAGTACAGGCGGGTTCCAGGGTGGTGCCAGGGAGGTCCTGGGGTCTGAGAGGGTCTCAGAAGGGTCCCAGAACCTTTCCCAGGTCTCCGTGCTCCGGTACAGGGCCTATTGCTACCCGACTTCCGAGCTGTGGAGGCGGGCGAACGACCTGGGTCGACTTGCACCATCGGGGCTTGGGCGCCGCCCCCCAACGTAGGGGGCCGCCTCGGCCTTGAGTTTAGGGGCATTTGGGGTTTAGGGCGTTTAGGGTTTAGGATTTAGGGTTGATGGTTCAGGGTTGAGGGTTGAGGGTTGAGTGTTGAGGCTCTAGGGCTTAGGCGATAACACGGAGCTTTTTCTGCTTTGGGTGTGCTAACGGGCGCACATCTTGGATCAGCACCCCACGTCGGTGTCGTAGTTGGAAAAATGTGATGTTGGGTTGGGGGGGGGACGGGGGTTGCTTGTTTCAAACATCGGGCAAATGTTTGGCATCCATATTTTGACAGCCTGTACCCTACATGTCGCCTTTGCCAGCGATCTCCAAAAAGAATGCTTAAACCCAAAACCCAAAACCCAAAACCCAAAACCCTAAACCCTAAACCCTAAACCCTAAACCCAGTAGAAGCATTGCCTTCAAAGACCATGCCCCCCAGATCCTAGGCCTAAACCGTAAACCCAGAGTTTTGCCTTTCTTCCGGGACAATCGCCCCGGCGTGCCGCGCTGGGCCCTTTTGGCCCTGTGTACATAATGCCAAGGTTTAGGGTTTAGGGTTTAGGGCATCTGGACTTTATGGTTCAAGCAGTGCGCGTGCTGAGCCCACTCCCGAACCCTAAACCCACGGGTGTATTGTCAAGGGATTCAGACTCGAACCCCTAAACCCAAAACCCTAAACCCTAAAGGTTCCCCTTCATATACTCCGAATATGGCTCTTATATTCCCTTAGGGATCCTTAAAAAGGGTCCCCAAAACCCAAGGGTACAACCTTAAGGGTCCAAGGTAGAACCCCTAGATATTGTTGCCCCCCGGCCCGAGCTTCAAGCAAAGGCCGAGCTTTAGGGCTCAGGGGACTTCAAAATGAGCCCCATGGCTTCGCCCTAGACCCAAAGCCCAAAACCCTAAACCCTAAAACCCTAAAACACTAAACCCTAAACCCTAAACCCTAAACCCTAACCCCTAAACCGTAAACCCTAAACTGCATCCTGGGGCTGGTAATCCCAAACAGGGGGTTCATTTTGTTTTCCGGGTTGATTCCACGCCTCCAGCTGCACCTCTATTAGGACCTAAAGCCCTAAGCCCTAAGCTAAACCCCGAACCCTCCTTCCCGAAAATGCAGGTCTGCAGGCAGGCGCCGACCAAGCCTTTGCCCAGGGCCGCAGCTGAGACGTGCCAATTTTTCTACCGACTTGGGGTTCAGGGTTTAGGGTTTGGGGTTCAGGGTTTGGGGTTTAGGGTTTTGGGGTTTAGGGTTTAGGGTTTAGGGTTAGGGTTTAGGGTTTAGGCTTTAGGCTTTAGGGTTTAGGGTTTAGGGTTTAGGGTTTAGGGTTGAAAAAGGCCGGGGTGGCCTCGCTCATTTTCGTCCGAAGACCCCTCTCAGGTAGTTTATTGCACCTCTCTGACGCGGGGACCGCAAAAGTGGGAGAGACTCGTTTTGAGATGAGGCAAGGGGCCTGGAGAGACTTGTGATAGCTTGGGAAATAGCTGGGGAAAGCGCCTGCCCAGTTCCAATTTGTGGTTGTATTTATCAAGTGTGAACAAGTTAATTGTCGGGAAATCGGCACAATGCAGCGTAGCTGGCAGTTCTCTCGCAATCCCTTTTGTTGATGCTTGTTTATCCTTGCATGTTGATTTCCTGGACCTTCTGTATTCGGCTTCGCAGCCAAATCGCATGTTACAAGAAATGGTAGTTTTGATTTCAGTCTCAGCAGGACAGATTCTGATGCCTTCTGTCAGCCTTTGGCATGCCGTAATTCCACCAATGCCACACAATTGGCAGCCATGGCCCCCGACTGAGTTGCGGAGAAACTTGGGCAGCGATGATTGGCAGCTTCTTGGAGTAAGAGCAGGTGTGCCCCGACAGTGCCAAAACCGATTCGACGACCAAGACAAATGCAAGGACACTTCCAACTCTCCCAGCTTACGTGTTTGCTGGACTGGATGGTGTGATGACTACTCCGTCGGGAGTGGGTACTGCCCTGTGTACCCTTTGGATGGCGAAAGCGCATTTTTTGAACTTGGCAACGGCTCGAGCAGTCCGGTTCTTGCGGTGACTTCACATTGTTCGGCAAAGCGATCGGGCCTTTGTTGTACGGTCCTTGCTTCGACATATTCGGCATGACGCTTGTGCTGTTGGCATGGCGGTTGCTGCGTCTTGCCGCGTAGAGACTCAGGTGCCAACTCGTCGCAGCTTTTCTTTTGCCCGCTACGTGCGCCGATTGCAGTGGCAGTGATGATGAAGGCCGGCAGCAGCTCGGTCGGCTCTTGGCTCCATGCGGTGGAAATTGACTCGGAAGTTGCTGATTCCCGTCCCACGGAATTCTCGCGCCGTCTCTTCGGAGCATTCCGAGATGGGCAGCTGACCGTCTCTCGGAAGTTTCTCTCATGGTTCTTTGGTCCACATGGACTTGGCGTGCCGGTGCCTCTTGCATGCATTCAGTTTTTGATTCGGAGATTCAGCAATGAAGGCATGTTCGATCAACCTGACGAAGTGAGGACTTCCAGGTTGCAGCCTTCTGCCCGGCGGGCGCTTGTCAAGCGTTTTTTCTTCGAGACCCGGCCTCACAAATTGGCATCCAAGTTGCTGCTTCCACCAGGCTGGTGCGTGCCATGTTGTGCGGCAGGCTCTGGGCGCCTGCCGGTCATGCTGGTACGTAACCCGTACCGACGCGTCTACTCCTACTTCCGGCACAAATGGCTGTCCAACCCAAGGAAGCCGCTGACGGAATGGAGGGACCTTCCGGAGTTTGTGAGGAAGTTGCTTGAGCAACGCTTGAAGCCGGCTCCATTGGCATCTCCATTCACCGAACAGGACCTTCGGCACCTCTTGTCCTTCGGCGATCTCGTGCGAGACCTGCGCTGGTCTGCTGCAGCTCGGGAAACGATGCGGACAAGGCCAGCCGAAAACGACTCAGAGTGATTCAGAAAGGAGTGAACGCAGTGGGGGAGCAATGAACAAATACTTAGTTACAGCAAAACAAGCACCTAACCGGTCAAACAAATGTCCAAGTCCAGGTAGCACATCCTAGTGAATCGTGGAAAGGCCCACGTTCACGCGGAGAAAAAGAGCAGCTGAATGGAGTTGCGACTCCAGGCACAGTTTACAGACCACAGTGGTTCACAGTGGTTCACACGTGCTCCGCTCCTTGATGGGAGACTGCAAAGTGTCGAAGGCGTGGTTGGATCCCTAGGATAGCACTGAAGCTCTGGTGAGCGTCGAAGAGGCAGTTGCATCATGGCATGCACACACACATTGACAGACTTAACGGAAGGCTTCGGTAGTCTCGAAGGTGAGAAACGGTTTTTATGGCAACTTTGCCATCTGTTTCCTTCCCTTTGAGGATGTGCGTGCTTCGCTTGGAAGTGCTGAAGACGGACCTCCTGCACTTGCATGCGGTGCTCTGTCGCTGGTTTCACTTTTGCCAGCGGTTGCCGGCCATCCCAGAGCTCATTCCCACCGGCATGCGCCCGTAGCCCAAGCTGAGCGTGGTGAGCGGTCTGCTCCGTTGTACGTTTCGACCTTTCGAGAGCAGGGTTTTGTCGCCGTGTAAAGTCGGGTTGGCGGGGTGGGGTGATCAAACCCAAGCAAGCAGAGAGTAAAGTACAACACCGTTTGCATCTAGGACTCTGCAGACATTGCATGCAAGGTACCTGCCGATTCCCCCACCTCCTTGGGCGGAAATTTGGACGGAGGACCAGCTGCACAGATTTGACAGGGACTTACACTGAACTTTGTTGACTTAAGCCGCTGTGTCCACGGTTCCACTGGTCATATGTTTTGTTCCACATGCTCTCTGACATGCGTCACACTGGATTCCCCACGTGGCGGCGTGTAGCGGGGTGTTTTGTCATTTTCCGCTGTCGCAGAAGTCCAGTCGGCAGTGAGTGCGGGGATGTGGAGTGGTACGGTACGTTTGGCGACATCCCTGGAAGTGTAAGAAATACGGAACGACCAGGCAGATCTGCAAATTTCAGCTGCCGAGTGGAGTAGGGAAAAGAGAGGTCAAGTTCCCGCTGGCGCTGTCTGCATCACGTCCTTGTTACCTTGTGCAACTTCTTCATCGGCCCTTTCAACATTCGGCTCCTGACGTTCTTTCGGGGTTGAGCCATGCCCCGCTCTTACACAACAGCATTCTGTAGGAGGCGGATGCTGATGAGGATCGATCCCCTCAAAATCGTACTGGGGGGGGGGGGTGCGGGGGAAGGATTGATTCTCTTTCGGGGGGTGGGGGCGGGCCGGGGAGAACAACAATCGGTACCGGAGACTATTTTGGACCTATTTATTTGTTACTATTATTAGTATTATTGTTATTATTATTTTATCATTAGAATTCTCTTATTCCCAACAGCACATACTGTTGGGTTTCAGTCTTTAAAGAAAAGAGGCCTGGATCAAACTCTTTGCGGCCGGCCAAAACGGGAGGAGGACGGAAAATTCCGGAAATGATGGAATATGAATGACGGAAACTTTCGGAAATGATGGGATGTGAAGGACGGGAAAATCCGGAAATGGTGGAATATGAAAGACGGAACTTTCGGGAAATGATGGAACGTAAAAGACGGAAAAATCGGAAATGGTGGCGGAAATTTCCGGAACTGACGGGACATGAAGGACCGCAAAAAACCTGAAATGGTATAGTATGAATGACGGACATTTCCCAGCAGCACATACTGTCCCATGCATGTGCGCAACCGTGAAACAAGAGACAATCCGTTGCTCAACAACAGGTCAACGTTGTAACCTTTTCTTTTTGGACGTCAGTACCCCTGATGCCTTGTTACGATTTGGCGCTCCGCGGCTGTGCCCGAATTGTTGCTGACAGCCCAAGTATTCGCAGGGATAGCCTTTATGCACCTCAGCAATACACCAACATTAGGTTATCAACATGCAAACGTGTAAAGACGCCATCGTAAACCCTTGAAGCACAGTTTGCGTTGACGCGCTTCTCCACGTCTTTCTGCCAGCACTTCCGAAGCATTGTTGGACTCATCGCGCAAATGCACAAGTGACGCTGCACTGCACGCTGCTACAACAGCAAATGGGTCAATGTTGCATGTGCTTAACGAATTGCGAAAGTGATGCTTGCGTCGTCTTGAGATTGAAATCTTCCGGCGTTGGATGCACCAAATGTTTTTGCAAGTTGGGTGCATGAGTCGCACTTTTGAAATTCATTCAATGCAGCACGCAACGGTGATGCTTCGACGTTCTGGAGCCCGTTTTCACAAGGCCCAAACCCAAAAGCAATGCAGTACCAAAGGGGTCAAGCCTCGAAGTCCCAAACCAATCGACATAACACCCAAAACCCAGAGCAATGCAGCACCAAAGGGGTTAAGCCTCGATGTCCCAAACCAGTCGACATAACACCCCAAACCCAAAGCAATGCAGCACCAAAGGGGTCAAGCCTCGATGTCCCAAACCAGTCGACATAACCCCCCAAACCCAAAGCAATGCAGCACCAAAGGGGTCAAGCCTCGATGTCCCAAACCAGTCTTCACAACGCCCAAACCCCCAGAGCAATGCAGCACCAAAGGGGTCAAGCCTCGATGTCCCAAGCCAGTCGACATAACACCCCAAACCCAAAGCAATGCAGCACCAAAGGGGTCAAGCCTCGATGTCCCAAACCAGTCGACATAACCCCCCAAACCCAAAGCAATGCAGCACCAAAGGGGTCAAGCCTCGATGTCCCAAACCAGACATGACACCCAACACCCAAAGAAACGAAGCACCAAAGGGGGTCAAGCCTCGATGTCCCAAACCAGCCTTCACAACGCCGCAACCCCCAGAGCAATGCAGCACCAAAGGGGTCAAGCCTCGATGTCCCAAACCAGTCGACAGAACACCCAAAACCCAAAGCAATGCAGCACCAAAGGGGTCAAGCCTCGATGTCCCAAGCCAGTCGAAGTAACACCCAAAACCCAAAGCAATGCAGCACCAAAGCGGGTTAAGCCTCGATGTCCCAAACCAGTCTTCACAACGCCCAAACCCCCAGAGCAATGCAGCACTAAAGCGGTCAAGCCTCGATGTCCCAAACCAGTCGACATAACACCCAAAACCCAAAGCAATGCAGCACCAAAGGGGTCAAGCCTTGCTGTCCCACACCAGTCGACATAACGCCCAAACCCCCAGAGCAGTGCAGCACCAAAGGGGTCAAGCCTCGATGTCTAAAAACCGCCTAAGTTGATGTGTAGCTGGGCTGTAGGAACATTTTCAGGTCGTAGTCGAAAGATCGGTTCACTCTGTGAATGGGAACCACCAGTGTGCAACCTTACAGTTGTGGAGACGGGAGGCCAGTCTAGTGATGCGTACCTGGCCACGGCATTTGCGTCGTCGTTGGGGGAATGGACAGTGGATCTACGACTTCGAAAAGGCTGAGCTTTTGTTTCAGCTGCTCTAGAGTTCCGTCAAAGATATTTAGAAGGATGTTGTGTGCATGATTTTCATGGAACAGCTCCTGGTTGCCAAGTATCTCGTTTTGAGTCGGACGTGTGATGGCATTGAAGCCTTGGCAAACCGCAGAGGATCACAGGTGCGTTGTCGTGCACTAAGGGGGGCAGGCTGCCAGCAACCCAGTGCCGGACAGGCACATAAGGCTTTGAAGCTAGTGATCCATAACTAGAGGCACTGCAAACTATCGAAAAAGGCATGAATGACAGTTCGACATGCCGAAAATGTCAACAAGTGAGTTGGGAGAGTGGGGAAGTGCATGGAAGCTCTCAGATGCTGTGTACCAATGTGAGCAGCGCAGGACGCCGTGCAGGACATGCGCACGATTTTCGCCACGGACTTTGAAGAGCTTGGATACTCCACGGATCCTTTGAAACAAGCGCCGGTGAGTCGATCACCCTGCTGGATGAGAGGGTCGCCAAGTGAGTCAGGTGACAGTTAAAAGTCAGGTGACTCTTGCAGCTGGTGGAGCAGCTTGAACAAACTTTCATGGAAGCAGCTTTCCCTGGCTGGGCATTGACGCGGCAGAGCAGGGATCTGTGCTGGAGAGCACTCACAAAGCAGCCTCGGCGGTGTCCATGCGGTGTGATGACTGGCAGTCCGAAGGCAACTGAAAGCGAACTGCCGAAACCTCGCAGTGACGGGGACAGAAAGAACTTCCAGTGCGTCTAGTGCCGTCGGCCGCCGTGGTGTCAGTGGTCACCATTGGTCACCAAAGTCTTCGCGAGAGAAGACGTGACGACGCGGTGAGCCGTGTAGTCCTGTGAATCCGAGCCGTGTCCCCTCAACCTTCCACTCTGGCATCACAAGCTGCACTGAAACATACGGCAACTTTGCTGTGGCCAGGCAAAGAATGTCTCAGTGCGCTGCCGAAGTTCTATGCATTGCAAGCTGTTGCGGTTGGTGCAAGTTGTGATTCTGCAGCTTTAGGCTGGCAGGAGGATGCAGACAGCTAACGAGCACAAGCCCAACAGCTTAGACAAAGTTTTTCATATATAGATCTTCGTAGAATGTTTGTTCGTTTTTAAGATGAACGTTTGGACTCGCAGGCATTGGCATGCGTTGGCTCAGGGTAACATTCTGAGAACAGCAGATGCCAGCTGAACCCAACACATGTCCGAACAAAAAAGCAGGCTAAAAGTAGGCTAAAATAAAATGCTCTGAATTGACGGCGTGCCTGTGGGTGTCTTCCGCATGCGACGTGTGCCGCGAGACACATGCGATCCCTTTGGCGCCACGCCGTTGCACAATGCATGCTTAGCCCGACGTCCTGCCGGACGAGAAGGGATGATAAAGAAATTGCTCGATGATGGCCACTCAGCGAAGAAGAAGGATGCCGCTGGTATGACCCCTTTGCACAACCTTTGCAGAACAGTGGGAAGGTGCGAGGGCAGGAAAAATTGGAGCATCTCATGACGAGGGCTGCTGTAGCTAAAGAGGATTATGGGTGTATGGGGCAATTGAAGCCATATTCACATTGCCTCTGTTCCTGGCCCGGAAGGAGTGTTTCGGAGTTGGCTTCCTGTGCCTCGCACCTTCTTCAAGCCCGCGCAGATGCCAATGCTAGGGACAAGTGCGGGAGATCACCGTTAATGTCTCTTAACTTGAAGAGGTTGTATCAGTCATGACCTTCTTTCCATATCCTGCAGAGTCATGACGCCTAAGGTTACTATGTGCCAATGAGAGCGCACTTCCACCCATGCTTGGCACGTTGCTCGGGCACCGTGCCAATGTTAATGCCCGTGACAAGCGTGGGAAGTCTCCTCTTCACACCCTTTGTGCTAACGAGAAGGTATCATCTGAGATGATTACGGTGCTCCTCGAGAGCCGTGCTGATGCAAACCAGCAGTCAAATCAGCTTGTGTCTCCCCTTCATGACCTTTGCGCAAACTGGTCTTTGCCACCAGCCCATGTCCTTCTTCAAGCCCGAGCAGATGTGAACGCAGTCAGCAAGATGGGGACGACGCCTCTCCACGAGCTGTGCGCCAACATCGGTGACTACCAGTGCAGGGATGGAGTCCACCACGTGCAGCAGTTGCTGGAGACCCGGGCAGATGTGAACAAGCTGAATGACGAAGGGCAGCGGCCTTGCGAGCTTCTTTGCTTTAACTTCTTTCAGAATGGGGATAGCCCTACGGGGCCACTCTGCCCTGAGGTGTTAGACTCTGCTCTCGCTCCACTCCTTTCTGCGGAAGTGTCACAGCTGCGCAACACAAGCTTTCAAGCGAAGGCAGAGTGGTTCCGGGGTGTTCTGGACATGCTTCTAGTATCCTCATTGCCACCCTATCCAGAATTCGATCTTGCACATTTAGAGGTTCACCGAGACCACGTGCTCCAATCCATGTGCCCGCAATTGGAGCAGTTGACCCCTCACCTCGAAGAGATCGGTTTCGACTTTGAGACGGGACAAGGTTCGGGGCTCACTCGGGAGCTCTTTGTGGTTTTCTCCTCTGAGATGGCAAATGAGAACTACAACCTGTTCGTGTGCACCGACACTGATCCTCCCAGACTGTCCTTGTCACCACGCCCCTGCGTGAACGAGTATCGCAACTCCTACTTGCAGCTGATCGGCAAGATGATCGGATTTGCGCTGTTGAAGGAGCAGCACCTTCCTGTGCACTTTGCGAAGCCATTCCTTAAGGAGCTCCTCGACGTGGACTTCTCCTTCGAGGACCTGCTAGACTTCGACCCCGACCTTTACAAGCGTCTTGTGCATCTACGTACATACGACGAGGAGACAGTGAATCAGTTGGGCCTCAACTTCTCCTTGGATGATGCCTACTTCGGGAAGAGACGAAAGGTCAACCTACTGTTAGGTGGTGAAGACATCCCTGTCACAAAGGGTAACTTGGAGGTGTACCTACGCCTCTATGCGCAGCACAGGATGAAGTCAGACGAGAAGGCGCTCAGCAGCCTGAAGCGCGGGTTTCATGACTTCTGCCCACCAGCCCTCATTCAGGCAGCCCGAAGGTTCTTGACCATCGAGGACTTTGACAAACTACTGTCAGGTGTGGAAGAAATTGACGTTGATGACTGGCAGAAACACACACGCTACGACAGCAAAGGTACACCGCGGACGAAAGTCGTGAGGTGGTTCTGGGAGGCTGTTAGAGCCATGTCCTTGCAGCAGAGGAAGCAGCTACTTCGCTTTGCAACCGGACGAACCAGTGCCCCCATCGGTGGCTTCAAGCTCATGAAGTCCGAAGATGAGCACATTCCTTTCACCATTGCGCTGAAAGAGGGGCCCGTAGAGGCCAAGGTCAGAAGCTTCTATCCGACAGCAGCAACATGCTCGAATCTCCTGCAGCTGCCACGCTACAAGAGCAAGGCAGATCTGGAGAAGTATCTTTCGGCGGCCATTAAGGAACAGATGATGGCCTTTGCAGAGGCATGAGCATGCCGCAGGGATGGAACAACTGCCAGGGACACCTTGGCAAGTAATGAAGACGGCAACAGAGCCGCCTGTTTAAGTGCTCGTAGCTCCAAAAAGGCCGGTTGGTCAGGGCGAGAGGATACACGCCTTGGTGGCACGTCCGTGCAACTCTGTACAAGCTCTGTGTGCCAGTCTGCTATTGATTCGCGTAGTCCGTAGCCGGTTAGCCCGCAAGTGTCAAGTGTCCTGCAAGAGGGTTTCAGGGTTTAGGGTTTAGCACGCAGCATGACAAAGGTTTTGGTTTTGGGTTGAGAGTTGAGAGGAAATGGTTCAGAGAGTTCGGGTGTCAAAGGCTGAGAGCAGGTGTGTTGAAGGTTCAGCAGCGAGACATTCAAAACTATGCGTTTGCAGTTTGGACTGATTACAAGTGCCACTCGAATCGCTCCCCATTCCATGGTCCTCGAAAGGGCCTTCATGACAGATGTGGCGGTATGGGATGGAACAGACCTCATACCATGTGTGGGAAGTTGGTCGCCGTCAAGCTCCCAACCTTGGTTCTCCCATAAATGCCGGCTGCACCATCTTCTCTTTTCCGTCTTGTTACAGTCTTACGAGATTCACCCTCGCAGGCAGGACTTTCTTTATTTTTGCGATGCAACATCGGTCATGTGGTCTTAGGAGCGCAGTGGGCCACGCTTGTGGGTCTCGTACCCATACAGGTTCAATGCTGTAAAGGGACTACAGGCTGCAAAATGTCTCAAGCAGTGCAGATGTACGCAGCCCTGAAATCACTTCCCAGCAATCTTGGACATTGGCCGCAAGGCGAACCTGATTCCAAATGCTTTTCTGCGACATTTCAGAGGCTCAAGCCGTTCACCAGCACACGCAGGGTTTTGCGTCCCTGCAGGGCGGCATGGGGTGTTGGTCTCGGAAGTAGAGTCTTAAGACCGATGTTTTGCACTAAAGCTGCCGGCAGCAGGGTACAGTAGGCTGCACGCAGATGATTGTCAGGTCGGCCGCATCCACCGATCTGAAGAATGAGATCCAATCAAAGACCGTTGGTGAGATTGCTGCGGCATTGAAGGACATTGAGGTGTCATTTCAAGAACAGGCAAGAGAAAACAAGCACACACACACACACAACAGCTTGGTCAAACTTACGAGGCGGTTTGACAAAGCATGCACTGCAAAGGATAGCTAGGCTACTGCAATGTGCAGCACTACATCTTACATAGATGCAGGAGTTGCCCGCCGATCAGCTTGAGAAGGTGAAGGGTGCTCTGGCCACAGGAGCAGGCTCCTTCACCTTTTCAGTTGCAATGATGTGACAGAGAGCGCTGGAGAGGTGTTGCTCCTGCCAAGGGAGGCCAGAATCGTGTGCACAAGATGGCAAGGAGACGAGCTGCACTGTTTGGCCTCCTGGCTTGTAGGTGCATGCCCTGGACCTGTGGACCTCAGCAAAGTCACGGTCATTGCCAAGGAGCGCAGCACGTGTTTATGGATGTGTGTGGTTGTGGATGTGATTGACTATGGTTGCTGGGGACTTTCAGTGCCGGCCGTGATGGTGTTGACATCTAGGTTCTAGGTTCAAGGTTCTTGATCCAAGTGCGAAACGCTTGCACAGAAAGCGCAAGCGCTTCTGCTGATGAGGACTACAAGGGTATGCTGGCCCAGCCTGCAGAGCCAAAGTTCAAGGGCGTCCTTCTTCAAGTTTACGTGCGAGGCGCACCTTACGGAGGCGGGGTTCTCCATGCAGAGGCCACTGTAAACTGAACTCTTCAACAGCTGATGTTTGGCTGTTTAGTAGGACCGGACAAGAGCATCAATGGTGCGGATCTCGGTCGTGAACGAAATCGCCCGAAGCATGGGCATGTTTCGTTGGCTGGAAGAATTCGTCGGCACAGGCCACCGCTACGATAGCATCCCGTTTGTGAATGGCATGATCGAAAGCGGCATGAGCTGCCAATTGCTACTTGTCCACACATGGCAGGGACACGCTGCTCGGGTAGCTTCGTCAGCGGCCTGCTGTAACCTTTCATTGCAGTTTTCTTGAAGGATGCACTACACGCACGAGGAGCACGATGTTTGCTTCGGGCTGTGCAAGGACATCATCTGCAGAGTTGTCAGCTTCTTGCTTAGATGATCTCCATGTTTCCTAGTTGAGCTTCGCAAGGCCTTCGACTTCGTCATCGTCCGCTGCAGCCCAGGTGGGCAAGTAGAAGCCGTGTCGTGACCGCCTATGGGTGACATGCAAGGTCAGATCAAGGAGGATGGTGGTGACCAGCAGAAGTTTGACGATGCTCTGCGCGACCTTGAAAAGGCTGGCAAGCAGGTGGGCTACTCAGGGCCTTCTGAGATTCGTTCTGATTGCAAATGTTAGCAGTCACTGCACACCACAAAGATCCAGGTGTGGCCATCCCCAGACGCGATGGAGAAAATGGCCAAGGATGCAGGCACGCTCACCGAGGAGGAGAAGTGGATCGTTGACCAGTTCAGCTGCTCCGGCGCCGGGGCGAGATGTTTGGCCGCGTGCTGCAAAGATGGCACCCCTACTGCCTGCTGGGACGACATCACGGAGGAGGACAAGGCCGAGGCCAAGAAGCTCGGTGACCTCATGGGCCAGAAGGCCCTGGCAATCCTCTCCAAGTGAGCCCAGCAAAGGCAGCGCAAGGGGGCTGGCAATGGCTGGCAGGGCCGGGCCTTGAGACATCACGCAAGTTTGTGGCATGTTTGAAATGCCGACAGACTGAGAGTCTTGTGGCTGGTCAGCAGCCTTTCCCGATCTCTCTCAGAATCTGCTGGCCAATTGCGCCTCCGAAATGATTGCTGTCCCAACTTCAATTTGCATGGAAGTTCCACTGAAAATGTTTGTGGCTGTTGCTAGTCTCAGGCGGATGAAGCTTTCAGTCTGGGAAAAGCAAAGCCGCAACTCCGCAATTGCGGTATGTTGCTCCTTTAAATCTCGCAGAAAGTTTCAGATCCTTTGCGTGCGAGCCCCGCTGGCAGGCAGGCCAAAGCTGCCAAAGGCACCGCAATCGGGTGAAGCATGGCAAAGCATGGTAAAGCCGAAGCCCTCAAGCTTTCAAGGCCTCAGAGTTTCCCATCGGCTTCCAGGCTCAAACAAGCATAATCAAGCTCAAACAAGCATCAAAATCTTGGAGCGTGTGGCAGTGTGTCACATTGCTCGTGTAGTCGCTGAGTCTGCAGCAAAAGGACATGCAGTGAAGCAGTGGCATGCAGGTCCTGAAGCGTTTGCACAAAGCCTGCTGGATCTGGCAGATAAGACTTAGCGGCATCGCGTTTCCCGCAAGCAGGGGAGGTTGGTTTTGTTGGATTCCTGCTTCCTTTCATGCTTTGTGTGCCCAGTTCCGACGCCGGCATGTTTTCGGATGTGTTTGGCAAGCTTTGCGCGGCTCTTCACCAAATTGGGGAATCCGGCTGATCAGAGATCGACCGCATGTTTCACGATCTCCTGACATCTTGTTGTCCCTTTTGCGAATGATGCAAGGGGGCGCGTGTCATTCCATGGGAATTCCTCACGAACCTCTGCACTCAAAGCGTCGGTGCAAGTCTCGGATGGATGAAGCGTCCATCCCGGAAAAAAGGACACCAAAACGTCAGCTGAAGCTTGATGCTAGCTTATGCTATCTTGTTGCGCTCCTTTCGTTGCCGGCTGCTGGAACTTGACATGTTTTCTTGACTGTGCGCTTCGGACCAGGTTGTTTCCCCGCAGCCTTCTTGTGGCTCTCCTGTGGGTTGGTCCGAGACCCTCCCCGCCAGGAGTCCATTCTTAGTCGCTCGCCTCAAATTACAACATGTGTAGCATTTTGTAATTGCAGGTCGCATCCAGCCGTATTTGCTGCATTGAGTCGCTTCATCTTAAACTTCCAAACGGCGTCAAGACCTAACGGCACCATTGCCAGGATCCGCTTCCCGATCTTGCTAGCGCCAAATGTTGGAGCAAAACGTAGCAGAACCATAAAGCAGCTGCAAGTGATAGGGGTAGAGGGGATGAGGCAGGCGAGTTCAGGTCGACAAGAAGTGGGGGTTTGCCTGCCTTTCTTTGCATCTGCCAGGATAGCGAATTCTTAGCCACTTGGCGGCACCGTGAAGCATCATGGAAACAACAACTAGCCGATGAATGCCAAGCTTGCTGGTATATCGACAATGACGCTCGTAAGTGCGAGTGCACCTTTGAACGCTGAGCCCGTGCAACAGTCTATTGATGCTAAGAGCCTGTGAGCCTGGTTTCTGGTCTTCGCTTGACGTCCTTCTCCTTAAACTTCATGCTGACGAATATGCTGACATTGTGTGCAGCTGCACCAACCGGACCGAGAGCAGGGGCTATGCTCAGCCCGGGCTTGAATGCTGTTGAGGATGGTGGCCGTAACCCTGCGGGCACTGCTCTGGCTTCCTGTCGTGCGGGTGGCCCATGCTGCGCAGGCCTTCCACCCGATCGCACGCTAGAGTCGATCCGACCTTGCGACAGGGCCCCTTTTCAAGTTGAGGTAAACGGAGCTGCCTCGAACAGAGAAGCTAAACTAGCATCAAGCACTTGGTAGAGCCTTTGTCTAAGGCAGAGCTTAGGCAGAGCTTCTGTTTGCCTTGCAGGTGAAGCTGACTGAGCGGGCTGGCGCAGTTGATAATGACCTGCTTTACACGACCAACCCGGTGTGTGACTCGGTCAAGACCAGTCTCAGACGCCTTGAACCTCCGGGCAGATGCTGGAGAGGAGCTTCAAGTAATTTCAGGTCAGCTTCAGGCAGGCGTCTCTCTGAGTTCAAAGGTTGATGGGTCGGTGTTCGACTGGTTTGGCCAGCTGACCTAAGTCCATGCAGAAGAGCCAACCGAAAGTCTACAAGTCTCCTCGCCCCATTTTCCTCTCCCAGCTTTCAAGGTTTGGGTTTTGGAATTGGGTGGGAAGTACCTCCAGCCGAGGCCTGCAGAACTCGTGCGTGAACCCCTTCGCGCCGGGTCTGGTTGACATCCCCAGGCATCCAGTGCATCAAGCGCATCTGGTACGGCAATCGTCTGTGCTCTTGTGCCTTCTTCACACAAGTAGCACTCCCCAAGCCAAATCTGTCACCCCAAATCCATGCTTGCGGCAAATTGGAAGGCTGGCGACCCTGATCTGGCAGTGCTCACCAGAGGGGGAGGCCCCTTGTGCAAGTTGCATACAGGAGTTGAGCACGAGCTTCTCCATGCTGATGTTCACACCCTGTTTCACTTGCGTTGGCATGTGGCACGCATTACCGTCTGCGGGAGAAGGTCCAGAAGTATGTGAAGTTCTGCAAAGCGGCTCTGACTGCAACTTGGGGAGTGGGGCTTCAAACAGGGCTCTCAAGGTCGGGCTTGGGAGTCCAGAGTGAGTCGCAACAGCCCGAACAGGCAGGACGTATGACAAAGTCTGTGAGAAGATGGTGCGGTCAAACGACCCGGTGGTCCATCTTTTGCTGCAACGCCTGCCCCCCGAACTCACGTCCCGTGCCGGAAGCTTGCTAATCCCTTCGCCCTGGTTAAACCACCCTCCCCCCCCGGCCCCCCCTGTATAAAAACCCCTCAAACAATCCTCAAAGGGGTTTTGGTGTTTTAGTATTCGGGGGGGGGGGGGGTTCTTATCGTTTGTCCGAACAAACCGTTTGTCGTGGTTTCTGCTTCGGGTTTCCGACCTATATAACTCGGTAGAGGTTTTAAACGGCTACGGGATCTGGTTTTGAGGCCAGGGAGTTTCGAAATATGTAGCAGGGTATTCTTGGTAGGGGGAATGGATTACTCAAATGCAAACATATGCTACCCCTCTACAACCCACTGTAGTGACTGGGGTGCTTCCGCAAAAAATGCTTGTACATATTCTACGTATGTATGTATGTATGTATGTATGTATGTATGTATGTATGTATGTATGTATATACATATTGAACAGACACATATCTTTCTCTTCATGGTGTTGTCTCGTTTAAACCCAACGTGGCTTAAAAGCAAGTCGGGTGTTCTTGATAAGCAAGGTCATCGTCTTGGGGGGGGGGAGGGGTCCAGGTCTTAGGCCAGGACGTGCTGCGTAGTACCAAGTTTGGGTGGGGATCTTGGATGTTGGGCTCTTGCTTGTTGAGGAGGACCCTCCTCTTTCTCAGGGAAGTTGTTGGGTGGCATAGGGAAAGTCTTTGGTGGTTAGGACATTCTGTCATGTTTAGGGGTCTAGGAATTCGGGAATACAGATTCAGCCTGAGCATGGCGCGAATAATGTTGTGGATTAGGGCCAGCCTTTAATGTTTAAGGAAGCTCTTTGGGAAACTTATTTAGTGACTGGGGAATTGGTTGATTGTCACAAATCTTCAATGCTGTAGTGCTGCGGGCAACTCGTGAATGTTCAGGGAAATGCTGGTTGCGGCTCAAGGTTTTAGAAGCCAAATTGAGGTTTACTTATATATTATTTGTTCAGTTGTATGTATATATACATATATTTTTTAAAATGTATTCATACTTGTTTAAACTGTATACCGGGTTTAGGACAGTTTAGGAAGGTCTAGGGCATAGGGTCGCTTAGCCATAGACCATTACCGTTTCGAAGTTGATGCTTAAGGAAGTTAGGTTGTACACTTCTTCATGTTTGGCGAAGTTTGTTTCGTGACTGTAAGGTTTAGTATTGGGGTATCAGCCTAAACCTTCAACGAAGAGGGTTTAGGAGTGGGGTTTAGGCCAAGACATCAAGCGTATACCTCATAGGCATCCAAGGCATGTTTATTGCTGAGCATCATTCGCTGAAAGTATGGGAATAGGGCCTGCGCTTAACCTTAAGTAAGTCGGGTTTGGTGAAACATGTGAATGTTTGCTGGAACTTCTAGGATTTCCAGCCAAACCTTCAACGAATAGGGTTCAGAAGTAGGCAAGAGGGTTTAGGCCTAACCATTAAACGAGTAACGTTTCGTGAAACTCGTATGCTTCAGTGCTGCACATGACGGCACTACCTTGTTATTGAGGCACAGGGCTTTCTCCCGCACATGGCTTTCACCCTCGCAGCAAAGCGCGAACGTAATAAACATAAAGTTGGAGTTCAGCCCATGCAGGTTTATTCGCATTCTGAATCAAGCCCGGGGTTAGTCATTCCATTGCGTCGGCTTCTGTTGCATCTTGAGTCAGCTCCGGGACCCTCATTCCTTTAACTCGTTTTTAGTTTCGCATTCTGAATATTTCTGAATCCATCCCGGGGCCTGACTCAACTATTCAGTTCTGTATGAAACCCAGGAGCCAAGATTCAAGATCCAAGATGTCTGGCGGAAATTTTGCTGGGTATGTTGCATTCCTGCCGGTCCTGATTCATTGTATTCAGCTTTATTCAAATTTTGGACAAGCCATTCAAAATTTAAGATGCCAGGAGAAACTTGGTCTGGAATCTTGAATCCTGACTCTTGGATTGGGTCCTTACTCAATGTTTGAATAAACGGGTAGACTCAAGACACCAGGTAAAGTTTCCTGCGATCCGATCCTCATTCAACGTCAGAATCAAACGAAAAGGATGGTGGCCCCCCTCCACCTCCTGAGAGCCCAACGCGAGAATTTATCAATCACGGTTGGCTTTGAGGTGAGGGGTACCAAACATAAATATACGTGCGTGTATATATATATATATATATAGATGCATGTGTAGCGGCAGGCTTGTGCAGCATTGTGATATTTCTGTGCTCTTGTTTTTGTTCGTTCAGTCAGAGCATAGGATGCTCTGGACTACGATGCGGCGATTCCCTCTGGAAACGAAAGCACCCCATTGGACAAGATCGTGGCGTCTCAAGACAGTTCCGTCCTCGGGGTGAAGTTTTGCCAACTGCGCACAGAAGGTGTTGCGTTCCTGTTCTTGTTCTGCTTCTTCTTGGCGTCAGCTGGACTATCGGACTGTCGCATACGCTCTGACTAGGGATACGTGACGTACACACTCGTAAACAGGTGCAGCCTCGACAATGTTCTTCTACCATCTCAGTGCGTTGGGCTATGACGCCAGCTCCTTGGGGTTTTGCTCAGATTGGAGAGATGTGGAGATATGAGAAGAGTGGGACGTGTGTCTCTCTCTCTCTCTCTCTTTCTATTTCACGTTTTCCCTCCAGAACCGCTTCACGACTCTACTCGTGCCACAGGCCTGGGAGTTCAGAAGACCAGGTGAGACAGACGATGTCTGCGTGCTGAACGTCTACAAGTTGCCTGCAGAACTTGAGACATTGGGAGTTTGCTCGCTTCTTTGAATTTCCGAGCATAAAGATGCACGGAGACGAGGGGGTTGACAAGAGAGCTCCCTCAGCTCAGGCTGACGTGCCTTACCTACTTCCCCAAGAATCAGGCGAATGGATGCGAACAGGGAGTGGCTGCGGATCGACAGCAATAGTACCCTGCGCATGTGTCTCTGCCAGGCAGGGTGCAAAACTGGAGCTCAGATCCCTTTCCTCAGACCTTGTCGGAACGCTTGCGAAAGCGCCCTGGCTTGATCCGACAGATCGCATCCCGAATCATCGCTCATACCATGTCATACCTGTTCGCGCGGCTTCGCCAGCTCTTGAGCCAGACATACTCTACGAATGGAATGGTCAGTGAATGTGGGAACCACGTCAACGTGGTGACATGTGGCGAAACAATCCCACAAAAGTATGCCCCGTTGCTAAGGCTACCTCAGCCAGTGCCAGGCCTGCTACGGGTTGCTGAAATTGAGGTGCAAGGTTGCGCCACAAAACATCGCGTCATGCCTCTGAAGGTGGAGTGCTGCGATGCCAGCACGCAGTGTGTGTTCGAGCACGAAGCCCAGGATGGCAGCGAGCAGCCGCAGTCTCAGCTTTCGGGAGCCGCACTTTTTTCTGCGAGGCTCGGCCCACTTCTGGTTCTTAAGCTGATAAGACCCAAGGTCAGGATACTATGATGCCGAGGGGCCGTCCGCACTGTGCACTGGCAGCGGCGGGGAGGGCCAAAGCTCATCAAACGAGGGCCATTCTGGCCACTACATGTTCTGATATGGGTAGCAGGGAGTTTAACAGGCATTGGATTGCAGGAAATGGTTATTGTAAGAAAAATCAGATCCAGCGTGCCCCTGAAGGCGCTGGCCGTCTCGCTTCTCCGGGAGCTCTGCTGCAGCCCGGCAGGAAAGGAGCGATTTGGGGCTTATGGCCCCACAGTCATGGAATGAGTGCTGCTATAACAGCGCAAAATCCAAACTTCCACACCCGAAACAGCCCCGTAAGGCTGCTGCTCTTGGGTCTACAGCTTTCTGTATGGGAGCGAGGCCTTGGTGGCTGCGACCCGGCTGTAAGGGACCACGATGTGATGCGCTGCGGGAATTTTGGCATGTGTGGTTTCGACCTAAGGGGCACGGCACCTGCTCTTAGTGACGGTGCTCTGCTGCGCCACAAGCTTACAGGGGCACTTCGGCTGCAGATGGGTGGCCTGGGCTTCGTACGAAACTCTTCGGACTTTTCTCTTCGGCGGGTGGTGGTCTGTTGAGCATGTTGTGCAGGTGCTCGCTCTTCATCCCCAGCCATCGGGCTTCTGGGCTGAGTTGTGAGGCAGCGCAGCCTGAACGGCGCAAGTTGGACACTGCAGAAAGCAGACTTCGAGTCAAGGTTTCTGTAGTGGACATGTCAAACCCGTTTTGCCCCTCCATTCAAAGCCTGAGTTTTCTGGTTCTGTGCCAGGTGGCCGGCTGATGTGTTCTAGTTTGGATGTTTGGTGGCCTTTCAGAATCGAGGTTCCCAACTGGAGGAAGGACTCCGACTACCTTGTGCGCTTTGAACACGCCCCCCATGTCGGCATTTGTGAGGGTTGGCTCATGATGGGTCAGAGACTGGGGTGGCGTGCGGGAGGATGAAGCGACGTTTAGCTCACCAGCCCGGAGTAAGTACGTGTACTTTTCAGTATTGATATACATTACACGTATACATATACATATACATCTACATCTATATATGTATATATCTATATGCATACTCGGACACATGCACACGGGGGAACTTGCAAAAGCGCATCGAAGTTGGTCGCCTTTGTCTGCGCATGAGAAGTTAGTTCGGGGAAGCGAGTCGTGACGAGGGAAAAGGAAGCAGCACAAACTAAATCTAAACCAGTCAGTGACGGGTTCAGGGAGCAAAAGTCTGCGTTTGCCAGAGCCCCAAAGCCCCCCGCAGCCTCCCAAGAAGCCCACTAGGGAACAAAGGTGCCAGCAGGGAAGCCCGAGACGGCGGCGACTCTGAACTCGTGCAACGTCCTGAACTCCCAGCCGGGTGACGAGGCAAGCTGAGCTTCGGGTATTTGGTAGTATTGCGAGTATCGGGTGCAGGTTGCATGTGATTGTCCACGAGGGATCCGCAAAGAGTCGCGCACAAGGACCTAATTCTATTCGGGCTATAATCGCAACCGGAGGGCTGAGATCAGGAAGTCCGACTTCTTGGAAGCAATATTTGGCGAAACCCTGACACGAAAGCTCGCATTCCCGCTCATCAACCACCATATGAAGTTTGAGGTTTTCTAGTTTAGTGGGTGGGATTGTGGATCCAGACGGCAGCTCATTGACATGCTGAGCATCGACGCTGTAGCAAGCTGTCGACGCTCAAGCCGGACAATCTTTTGTTGAGGTTTTTCCCTAAACTCCAGACCCTCAACCCTAGACAGATCCTGGCTGATGGTCCTGCATACATGTCAAGCCAAAAGAGGTGCTAGTTCAGACACATGCTGCCAGCAGAATTATTTAAGGTTACTGTTCTGAACGTGGGTACTCCAAGTGTCTCCCAAGTCCTGCGTAGGTCTGCTCGGGCCGCGGGCAGTGCAAGCCCTGGTCGATCCAGCCCCTGAAGGTAGGGGCGGTATGTGGATCAGGTTCAGGCTTGTGCAAGGGGTAGGGCCGCTGACCTTAGGCCTTTCATGTCCCACCTTTGTTGCAAAGAAGGTGCCCAACCCGTTTCCATGCTTTCGTACTTTGCGGCACTGATTTATTCAACATGCTCTGGCCATCAGCTGCAGGTAGCAAGCCTGAATACAACAGTCGGGGTCCCAAGCACTCTGCCATGCGGGCACCGCTCGGGTCGACGGCACATCTAAAGTCTTCAGCCCTTGTAAGCAATGTAAGCGATGCAAGCGCCTGAACGACAGCGTTGGGAGTTTAGTGATTGGTGACCCCCCTGGAGACCAAGGTTTCGTCGCTCAGTTCGCTCTCCTTCTGCGAGTGTGACTATCGGTGGGCGGATCCCGAGCATCTTGGCAGATGTAAGGGTTGGCGCCAGACGTGGTGCCAACTCGTTGATAGAAAGTTGAAGTGTAGCTCCTTTACGCATCATCCAAGAACCCTGAAGCCTCTCAAGCTATCAACCATTGAGGTGCCGGACAAGGCGAAAGTCCCAGATGAAGGCAGGGGACCTTGGGAAGATGATTGGATGTACCGAAGCCCTAGGGCTCTCAAGGTGAGGTGCAGCTTCGCATGCATGAAGTGTGTGTGTGTGTGTGTGTGTGTGTGTGTCAATCTCACGGGCAAACCATGCCAAAAGCACAGCCGGGAAAATAGAGATGCTCCTGCCAGGGTTGCTCCCACCAGGGTTGGCCCCGCCCAAGTTCCAGGTTTTCCCCGCCAGGGTAGTTTCCAGGGCTGGCCCCCGCCAGGGTCGAGTAGGGCACGGGGCACAGTGTGACATGAGCAAAACCTCGCTTTGCTGCTTTGCTGCACGCATCTCTGCTGCAATCCTCTCGGGAGCAAGCCTATGTTGAACTTGATACACAAATCTTTACGAACTTCATAAGTTAGGTTTCCGAACTTCATAAGCTGTATTTTCCGAACTTCATGCTCGCCTTGTGAGATCTAATCTAATCTGTATTGGAGCAACCGGTGCAGGCCTTCTTTCTCAGCCTCTTCACGGGCTTCTTCGGTGCAGACCGGTTCTACTTAGGCCTCTGGGTGTCCGGGTGCCCCTCCTGCAGTCAGGACGAGGTTGGAGCTTTGGGAGCACAACCAATGAATGGAAGTGTTGTTCTTATCCCTGGCAGAGAGGTGAACCAATGATCAGGTCGGCGCATCTTTGTCTCATGTGGCTTGAGATCGTTTCGTTTTCCTTTGCTCCCAGGTGCATCAAGCTAGCCGCTTGGAGCACAATGCGAATCCTGGGTGCGGTGTTTCAAGATTTGGGGTCGGTCCCTTTTCAGGGCCATTGCCAACAGATCAGAACGTCTAGTGGTTCGCGTTGTAAGCAGTCATAGCGGAGAAGATATTTCCAGCTGCTTACAAATCGCCTGCTTCATGGCAGAGTTTTTCTGCAATTGCAACGGCCGGGTGGGCGCTTCATGGTTTCAGTCGAGCAGTTCTTCTTAAGATATACCTGCCACTGCGGAACTCAAATTCGGTCTTCGAAACTCAAGAACTTCCCAAGCTTGGCTTGAGGTGACTCTTGGCGGCTTGGGGCTATGGTGGCTTTTCGACATTGCTGCTCGGCATTCCTTTTAAGCTTGGGGCCACTTTCTGGACTCACGGCCAGCGTGCCAAACCCCTGAAGTCCGCAATCAGACTCCATAAGGCACTGATACTCCGCCCCCAAATTCGTTGATGGTTCGAGCTCCTGTCGAGCTACTGCTGATATTTGGGTACATCAAGTCTTTTCGAGTTGGTTCCATGAGTTTTGCTGTGACTGTGTCGAAGCATCGGCAGTCAGTCGGCAGCCAATCTGCAGCAGTGGAGTTGCAGGACCAAGGTCGCAGGCACAAGCAGCGCGTGAGGGCTCAGAGAGCATACGCAATCTGTGCGTCAGGTCCGTGTGGGATCCGCCCCGGTCTATGCAGAGGACTTCAAGGTCAGAGGGTTCAGGGCATCCGATGTCCCTTGTTGAAAGGAGATGTTAACAGCTGTGTATTTTCATTTCGATGCCCTCTCTTCACTTGGAAGGTCGCCGCAGACCTGCCGCACTGGCTGTTCTTGCTGCACCCTGGCTGATACTCAAGTTTGAAGGGTTCCAAGAGGCCTATGAGGTCGCTGCAAGGAAGTACTTGCAGAGGTGGAGTTGTGGTGAAGCCTTGTATTCTTGCTGTGGAACCGGCCTGCAGACATGTTGCTCATCCAAGGATCCTGATCCTGGTCTTCGGTGGGATCGGCATATTGTACAGCTTGGAGAGTTATGGCAGGCACCGTCATGAGTCGCTGGTGATGAACTCTCCACTAGCCATGCTTAGTGAATCAGCACCGACCAGTAGCATGTACTGTCGCGATCATTGGCATCTGAAGGTCGGAATGCCTGGACCGGCATCGGCAGCATCCGTTTCTCATGTCCCTTTTGCCCTTCTTGTCCTCTCGCCCTCTCGCCTCTCCTCCTTTCCGTTCCCCCTCCCAGACCACACTGTGTTCTCCCTTTCCAGCTTTATTTAACTGTGTTTTCCATGTCTCTTTGGCTGGTTCAGGTTGCGACCCCTGTTTTCAACACCAACATGAGCTGCAGGGCTACAGCACCCGGTCCGCGAAGCCTTCGCAAGATTTTAAAGAATGCCGCTTTGGTCTCCTAATTGCTGCCCCGAGTTGCAAAATTGCTGCACCCCCGCCGTCTGGAATTGTCTGCAGACGTCTGCGTTATTTGGAATCGAAGTCGCTGCTGCATCTTGAGCTGGCTGTAGCTCTGCCGGTTCCATCCATGTCCACCTATATCCCTACCCAGATCCTCCTCTTGGGAGGCAGAAAAGGCAGAAGCGACACGAGGCGCTCCGGCACCGAAAAGTAAGCAAAGCCGTGCTGAGCAAAGTTCTGCCAAGCCTTCTTACTGGGACGGCCAGGCCATGCAGTTTACCCTTGATGAGGAGGCGATTCCTTTTAAGGCTGCGGCTGACGGTCGGCGGCCAAGAAACTACAGCTTCCACGGCGACTCCACGACATTGAGCTGGGCTGCCTTGTCGGAGTTGTCGGGCTTAAGGCTTTGTTTGGTTGCAGTGTTCGGACGTGGAGTCATAAAGGTGATTCTAGATTCTAGAAGCTTCTGATAATGGTTGGGCCTAAGTATGTGTCACGACCGAGGCAAAGACCCCTGGAGCGAGCCGCGGGCCGAGGGTTTTGGTGAAAAAAGCTCCGCCTGGTAGACTCTTGAGCTCGAAGATGCTCCAAGGAATGGCTCGTCAGGCTATGGATCTACGCTCCCGCAGTACCCGAATGCGGGTGCACCGCTGGTTCTGCGATAACGTCGGATGCGACTGCTAGGGCCTGCCTGTTTCACCTCCATCAGCATCTGCGGGAAGATGCCTGTCCAACCTTTAGTGGGCTAGAAGAGCAGCATCTCATCTCATTGGGCATGCTTCCCAGAATGGCGTGGCGTCAGCCTGGAAAATGTCCGTGTCGCCGTTGCTGAAGCCTATGTTCGGATCTCTGGACCCTGCATGGTCATGAAGTTGTCGCACAAGCACTTCGCGGCTCCTGACGCCTGACGCTATTGTTCAAAAGACATTGAGCCAAAGGCGCTGCGACGACAACAGAGCGACAACAGGTTCATGAAGTTCCATGCCTCCGCAGAAAGATTGGATTCACGTGATTCAGTAAACAAAGAATCAGATGCAGCTCTGCGAAGAGATGTGGACATGTAGAGTCTTGTAGCGGCAATTGAGACCGGGGTACTTTATTGAGAAGGCTTTGAGACCTCTTCTTCCGTGTGCGCCGTGTGTGCACTTTGTCTGCACCCCGTGTGCACCGTGGCCTTGCTCGGCGCGACATGGGCTCAGGCAAGTGCTGCGAGTCTGAGTAAAGGTTTCAGGGGATTGTGGGACTTGGAGCTTTCGGCTAGCGTGCGTGCCCCATGCGTGCCTTGCCCCAAGCCATCCCAAGCCCAGAAGTCCACATGTCAAGTCTTGAAGGCCGTCCCTCACCGGGCATCCGGCGACCGATACACGCGGGATCCTGGTACGAGGCACGCCGCGGGAGAATGATCTGTTCGAAAAGGGGTGTCTGGGCCAAGGGCGGTGGTCCTGCCTGTCTTTTTGGTTGCGGTTTGCAACCGGGGCCCGGTGTTTCTTTTTCCTGAGGTTGGCCATGGCTTGTTTTTGTTCGTAAGGTTGGCGAACCCCCACCCCGGCAGCTGGTCCGTTGTCTCCTGGTCTTGTGGTCCTCCCGCCCCCCAACAAAGTGCCAACCGAGGGGAGAAAACATAGGGAAGACAAAACACAACAGGGGGGTGGGACCCCACCCGCTCCAACGAACAGGTTCTGTAGCCAGGCATGTTTGCCAGCCCAAGCACCCCAAGCACAAGACTGCAATACACAAATGTTGTTATTTACAGCGTTTTGACCTTGTGAACTCCGGAAATGCTGTTGACTTGCAGCATGGGGAGCTTGTGTCTTTTGCACAGCATCTGAAGCCTGTGAATAGCTTGAAATGCTGTGAGAGCATTTGGAGGTTGTGACTAGTCAGAGAAGTGGCAAATTACAGCACTTGGAGTTCATGTCAGACGTGCTGTAATTTACAGCGGTTTGAAATGCTGTAAGCTACAGAATCTGGACAGAAATGACGAAGTTTACAGCATTCGGAGCCTTGGAAAAAAAGAAACGCTGCAAGTAACAGCACTTGGAGCCCTGGAACACACGCAGAAGTGCTGTTTTCAGCCTTGAGAGCCTGAAAAACAGGCAGAGATGCTGTTATTCTTTCAGCATGTAAAGCCATGCTGCATCTCATCGCATTTAGAGCCAGGAAGGGGGGGGGGAGCCAACCTTACCTTGTAGCGAGGAAAGCAGGCCAGGGCCGTTTGGGGGGACAGGCAGTTGGTGTGTGCCCGGCGTTTGCAGTCCTCCGTGTGATCAAATTGAGGGCTTGACACACCCTTGCACTGAATAGGGTATGGATTCTTTTTTC